AAGCAACTAAAATCACTTGGTTAACTTTAGGGAAAGCTTGAGGTCATAGTTAATGGATTAGTTGATCAACAGAAAAATTATTGGAAAGTGTTTTGATAATAGATTCATCATTTTAGTCACTTAAATCAAAAATGGAAAACAGTCACTAGCTCTAGCTGCTTACATGTCAGGAACTGATTATTTGCTTTCTCATATATAGTAGTAAACTTAATACCTTTGCGTTTTGGACTGTTGGTCAAATAAAGCTGTTTCAATCATGCGACACCTTGGGCTGTGATAAATTAGCAAGCATTCTTCATTATTTTCTTTTATTTAACAGACAACATTATTCATCAATTAATCATTCAGTTTAATCTCATTCAGCAGATTAATTAAAAGGTGATTAAGGAATTGTTAGTTTACCTTCACTCCCTTACTTTGTGCTGCACTACACAATACTAAATAAGTGTAGATTCCTAATGCAGAAAGGTTGCCTATGAATATAATTCATGGGAGACAAAAGTGTTCTTCTCTACTACCATCATGAATCTTAACTGTTGATGGAAAAACAATAACTTTAAAAGCTTATATTAAAGTACAAATATTTACAAGGTTCCAGATGAAAACAAACACCACAATGAACCTTATGAACCTTTTGAGGCTGTAGTACAGATGGTGACTGAGAGTATGTTTTTAATTATGAAACGTCTATTATCCGAATAACAGATTTTTAGAATATCATATCCATCCCTCTTGAGCTTTTAAATCACTTACTGAAATATGAATTAGAAATGTCCATTTGGTAATGCAGTTCATAACTGGAGCCAAACGCCGCCTCTCATTAATGGACCTAAAAATAGATGCAAAATGGATCCTCAATGATCTTCATCTACTGTGTGATAGTTTTATGAGGTGACACTATACTGTATGTTTGAACTGAGCACGTGTATGTATGTGTTGGAACATCTTAAGAGAAAAGTGAGCAAAGAAGAAACACACATACACACAAAATTACACATGTAAAAATTACAAGTTATACAGTAAAGGCTATAGTGTTATGAAAATGTCCAGCAATGTGCACATTAAAGTAGACAAAAGCACTGTTTTTTATTTGCAGATGGTGACTGAATACTGTACTTATTACATATTGTTTTACCTTGATTACTTACTTTACTCATTTATGTAGTAAAAGTATATAGGAAGACTGTTGTGGGGTACACTGTATCATTATTACTTCAGGTGTTATTTCATTAACTATAACTTATAATGCTATTGACCTTTCCCTCTAGGAAGTTATGATGCTGTGATCACAACAGTTTACGCAAATTCAACCCTGTAAGTTGCAACCTTGCACCACAAGGTTTTTTCAAATGTGACCTATCCTTGTTGTTTCCTGCACAAAATGCCACCTCCGTAACATTTCCAAACTCCGCCCCATCTCTCCTTCAGATGCCGAAAAGTGGTTCAATGCCTTCCTGTCTCCTCCAGACTGGCAACTACAGTAACGCACTTCTCGATTTGGGGATTCCTGGCAAGAGTCTGCAGAGGCTTCAGACATCCAAAACTCTGCAGCTAGGATTCCTGATGAGAGTTGCGGAAACAATGAGCAACATTACCCCATTCTCCACTCACTCCACCTGGCTTCCCGTCTCCACCAGGATTGAGTACAGGTTCTCTCCTCCTCACCCATCACATGCATCCAATGGACATGGCCCCCCTAACTCAAAGAATTATCACCCACAAACAAACACGCTCCCTACGCTCCACTCACTCAACACCTCCGGGCCACAATACCCCAGAACAGACTCAGGACCATGGGAGATAGGGCCTTTTGTGGCTGCCGCCCACGTCTTCTCTTTTTTTGGAGGGAATGCCCTCCCTGACCACCCTGAGGGCACCAACAATCCACTGAACTGTTTTAAAAAGGATCTTAAGACATTCTCTTTTTAGCAAAGCTTTTCGGTTCCCTTTTAGATGTTTTTACTTGTTTTTAATTCTTTCTCCTTTTTCTTTATTTTCTTCTTCTTATTCATTTTATATCTTTTTTTTTTTAAAAACTGCTTTTTTTGTTTCCTAACCTGTATTGCACTTTGACGAATCCTCTGATGAAAAGGGCATTATAAATAAAATGTATTATTATTATTTATCCCTATTCCTTATGTTTGTCTGGAGCAGATTTGTTGTCTATGTGTCTATGTCAGCCTCCGTGAGGCATTCATAAGATGTAAGCTGCTGATGCTGACATGGGTGTGTCTGCAGGCTCCAGGCCAAGTCCCAGTGCACAGCAGCTGGGACCAAAATCCTCACTTGGCCTTTTGACAAGACACACACATACATACACACACAGACACACAAACAGCAACAACAGCGCGACCAAAGTACAGCCAAAATTACTTCACAATAAATAAAAAACTTCCCATAGAGCATCTAAAAAAAGCCCATAGTAGGCCTACTTTAGAAATTGACAAAACTGAGGGCAATTATATAAGCTTACCAACTTTCAGTCAATCAGAGGAATAAATCAACGGATTATAAAGATTTAGGGATATTTTATTGTGGTCCATGTGCGACTCACTGACACTCACTCAATCAGCACTAAGATGTTAACACACACATACAGTATTAGTGCTGTTTGATGGAATAAGATCAATAATAATACTTTGTGTTCTGTTTCTATAAAAACACAAAATATTATGTCTGAGGTACGAAGTAATTTACTGTATACAAGTCAACTGCGATGCAGTTACATTGCGTCTCACTACTTGGACAAACAATGAACACTGCTTTGTGTGTTTCGGTAAACTTGGGTAAAAAATAAGACATGTCTGCCAAGTCAACTCTTATTGCTTTGACAGGACATCCTCAATTACTGGCACAGAGGTCGACAAAAAGATTGATGTGCCAACATGGGTCTGTAACATGTGCAGCAACCTCGCCAGAAAGCAACTATTATTAAAGCGTAGTTGTGCATGAACAATGCATGCTACAGCTCTTTCTTCATGATAAAGGATCTAATTTACAGCACATCAGGTCATACACTGGAAAAACTCCCATGTGAACTTTTCCCCCCTTAACACTAAATGTTCATGACTTAATAAGCAACAATCAAAATTGAAGAAAAAATCTTTAGTTGTTATTTAATGAGTTTAACTTTCAAAAACCCTTATCTGCTTAATCAGAACTGTGTAAGTGGTTTAATCATATTTGACTGACAGTCGTCAGACAGCTGAATAAGATAATTCAAATGTTGCTAAATCCTGCTGACCTAAAACCAGCAAGAAGAGCACAAAGAAACAAGGAAACACAAAAACCTCCAATGAGAGATAACTAAAGCTGAAAACATTGTGCACATGACACATAGGATCCCATTACTCACAGTAATAAGCCAACTGACAAAATAGATTTTTAGGGCCTTGAAGAAGTCTTTTTGTCATTGTGAGTGATTTGCCTATAGATATATGGATTCTCATCAACTCCTAAAACAACTGAACAGGGAACAAGTGTTATTATCCCTCTGCATCGCAAGAAGAGGGTTATTTGCTCACAAAGCACAGCCAGAAGGTTAAATGAATAACAATTTCATTTGACTTCAAAAGCAGTGAAACAGACACTCTCTCATCCCTTTGTGTCTACCCAGGCCATACCCAGGCCACCCTCCGCCTCCACCCCCCATCCCATCCTGGCATTCCTCCTCCACAGTGGGGATTAAGCCCGTCTCATTTACAGGAATATTGTGTTGTTTTTTAGAAGCCTTTTTTTGTGCCAGATCCAGACGAGGAAAATATGGCCATCTGGTCTGACTCTCTCTTACATATCACTAATCTCAGGTGGCGTACAATCAAGCAACACACATGCACGACATCCACACACACACACACACAGATGCCAAAATACACCATGCAAATTGAGTGAATGTCCACATCTGCTTGTAAAATAATCCTATGACACATATTGTACCAGTTTTTCTCAGAAGACTTTTCTCTCTACTAACCTGGGCAGCATGGAACCTGTCTACTGGTGTATGTATACCAGCTTATGAAAATGTAAATGGTGTTAAATGAGACAGTCAGGTAAATTGTCACTTTCCGTTGGTGATAGTTGAGGAGAAAATGATTAAATCAATTTCAATTCAAGATAGTTTGAACTTCAATCAAAGAGGATATGTGTGGAGATGGCTGCACAAACCCCTTCATCAGACAAAGTTAAATACAACATTGCATACAACCTTAAGTGAAACAGTTATCAAATTATTCTTGTCCATCTATGTCAGTGTTTTTGGGAGCAGCACATTGACCAAAGAACAGTCTGCAGAGGCACCTCATCTCCTTTGGACTGAGGCAGGAAGTAATAAGTAATAAGCACTTCACCTGAGGGCATACTTCATTACATTTTTGTGACATCTGTAGCGACCACTATGCAGATGAATGTTTTACATGAAACACATATGATACACTTATTAAACACTATGTATAGCTTTAATAATAAATAAAGTCATAATGCCAGGCTTGTTCCCAGTGAAGTGAGGCAAAATATAAGTAGATTAAACCATACGCCCTACCATTATTATTATTAAGGAAGAGTTGACTTTGATCTAAAAAAAAATAAGCCTGTTTGCATATATATTAACTTTTCCTTTTTGAAAACCCTTAGGAGCCTCGCTGAATGCTGGAAAAATATTTTAAATACATTTTATAATTCAACAAAGTAAGGGAGGCAGTGTGAGAGAGTTCCCCATTGTTTTCAAGTTGCACCTTCCTCCTATGCAGCTGTTCCACATTCAGATGTGCACAGATTTTTTCCTGTAACTTTTCCTTTTCTCAGTGAAGTCAGCTAAAAGAGGTATGCAAAAGCAACTAAGCTGTGATTTGTCTGTTGTCCCAGCGACAGACGAGAGTTCACACAGCGGGACTGTGCAACAACTGGTTGGATAAAACAAAACAAAAAAACGCAGGGTGAGCGTTCACACAGGAACCTGTAGCACTTGTTGTAAGATGCTATTCGAGGAGAGGAAAGCGGCCTACCTTCAGTGCCGTCCAGATCCTACAGACTTCCGGGCGTTGTTGGTGAAAGTTTGGGGCTCCGGGCCGTGCCGGAGGCATGGTTAGTGCGCACTGGATCGACGGACCGCAACGCGCTTCCTGTTACCCCCGGGTTGACCGCGCAGACAGCAGGCACGGCGGAGGTGCCCCGGCCAATCACCCTGGGGCCAGATGTGAGGGTGATATAACAACAGCATGATTACGTTTAATTTGGCCAATTCCCCGCTTGCAAAATCCCTGTTTTTCTTCGTCCTCCAACCAAAGCTGTGTGGCTTTATCTCGAGGGGAGGAGAGAGAGGGCGAGAGAGAGAGAGAGAGAGAGAGAGAGAGAAGAGATTAAAAAAGGGTTGTTTCCTAACCTCTGCCATGATGCCTTATTCTCTCTTGACCACCATCAGTCAAGATAACTTTCTCTTAGCTATACCATAACTAGACACCCTCTAAATAAGGCTAATAAAAAGCATGACAGACCCAAAATTTGCCAAAGTTATTCAACCCATACTACCAAATTTTGCTATAATTAATAATTTAATACTAACATGGGCCTATGATAGTTTAGTTATGAAAACACAGGCTGTAATTACAATATATGTATGCTATAATATCAGACAGCATTATATAGTCACACAAAAACCATTGAGTGCTCAGAGGACAATACATGTATTTGACCTTTATTCAATATAGTTTCACTTTCTTATAGGGTAATTTTTGCTTAAAATATAGGCTATAATATAATATATAGTATAACTGCAAATCAAATTGAACCTTGGTTGGTAACAAATCAGTATCTCCCTTGTATTAAAAAATCATTTTAAAGGTCCAGTGTAACAGGACAGGCAGTATTGGCAGTATGTATTAATTGATCACCTGAAAATAAGAATTTTGT